GGAATTAGGGATTTCCCTGAGCCCCCAGATAAGCCATTTGCAGTTGAGAGAAGAGAATGTACAAGCAAGAGGGTCCACACAGGAACTGGAGAGGGGATTTTAAGGCTACATAGTTCAAGGCCTGTAAGGAGCAAACTGTGTTGTCTGGGCTCTCAGTCTGGGGGGGACTGTCCTTTCTACACTGTGCTGGCAGTGGCTGGGAGACCACCCAGCCCCTCAGAAAAGGGGGAAAGGTCTTTCCTCAGGCCATGGGAGCACCTCTGGCTGGGTTGTTTCTGTTCAGCACAACACACCACTCTGAGTATGGTAGAAATAGCAAAGAACTCTGTATCCCAATTATTTTCATTTTCAATACTCTGCCAACAAGAACTAGGAGAGCTGAGACATGGCAGGCACTTCCTCCAGGTCAGGGCAGGGGATTAACCCTAGCCAGCAGCCCCAGGAATCCTCTGGGCAGGAGGACAGGACTGTTTCTCCATGGGTAAGTACAACCCTGGCTAACAGCTGGAGACAACAGCCCTGAGCAGTGGCTGTGTGTCAGCACAGTCATTCCTACACCTTCCAGCTCTCACCTGTGAGCTGAACTTGATCAGCACCATGTACTGGTTCGGAGTGGAGTCTCTGATGATTTTCATGTGCTCGATCACCTCATAGAAGGAGGCCACAAACTTCATGAGGTCGTGGCTGGTCATGGTGGCAGGGACAGTGAGGATGCAGAGCATGGCGCTGCGCCGGACGTCCTCCTTCAGAGAGGTCATCTTGCTGGGGGGACAACGCCACACAGCTGTGTCTCACCTCAGGGGGACAAGCACCGCTGGACACACACAACCCCAACCCCTGCAGGTCCTACAGTAACTCTGTTGTCAGTCTTTAACCCTCCCTTGTGATGAGGAAGAGATGTGATGTTGAGGAGAAGCAAAGGCTGTGGTGAGCATCCACCATCCCCACATGAGGCAGGCACAGCCATCCTCCAGCCAAGGATGACACTGCGCAGCTCCAGTAGCAATGGCATTGCCAGGAATCATTTGACATCTGTTTTGCTCTAAAAGCAGCTGAAGTTGGCGAGCCACATGCTCAGCACTATTCCTAGAACAAGTGAGCAATGTTTGTTGCTATTTCCAATGCCCATTTGGGGGCTCCTGGTAGCTTTCAGGAAGTTCTCACACAACAACAAGGAGAATGATGTGGCATTGGAACCCCTGAAATACAGGGGCAAACCTCCTGCCTCGAGCAGCAGCACAGGCCTGTCACCAGAGATCAGGAATTAACTGTGGGACCCCTCAAGAAGCTGCTGCTACATGTCAATTTTGAGGGAATCTGTGTTTGTCTTACACTCTCACAGCTCTCAGCATGAGCCCTCAACACCTTCAGTGTCACCCCCAGCTGGAGATCCAGGTGTCACCTGCAGCTGGGGGATCCGACCAGCTCCACCACTAGCACCAGTCACCAGGTGCCCTCCCAGGACTGAGTCACCCTTCCTGTTTGTCCCCTCAGGAGCCACAGCCCCAGGCGACCGACTCACCCCTCTGGGTGGCAGCAGGACTGAGCAGCACCATTCCCACCAGAGCTACCATTAGCCAGAACTCTTACTTTGTTTTGTACAGGTGCATAATCCCATGGACGATTTCCACGGAGGGATTCCCGCTGAAAAAGGAGATCTGGTCAGGGAGCTGCTTGGACGGCGAGTCTGGAGCAGCCTCACGCTCTTTGCTTGGATCCTCCTGTGTGTTTTTGTCCTCAGCAGATGCAGCCTCTGAAGATTTTCTCGCCTCCATGGCAGCTTTTGTTTCAGCTTTCACAAACCAAAAGTTCCCTTGTTACTGGGGGCACAGCTGTGCCCTGAGCACAGCCTGTGCCCACAGCAGCACCCTGAGGGGCAAACCACAACCCTGGAGAGCAGCACAAGGAGACACCTCTCATCCCTGCTGTGCCAGGGGACACTCCAGAGCTGCACACAGTGAGCCCCAGGATCAAGCCAGAGCTTTGTCCTGTGCCCAGTGACATCTCAACAGGCACCAGTATCAGCACAAAGCAGCTGGGGCAGGTTTGCAGAGCAGGGTGAGGGGCAGCCTGGATGTCTGTCAGACTTGGTGCTTCCATCCTTAAATTCCCTATCAGGGAATTTATACATTTCCAGAGCTGAATGGTCTCGCTGCTACAGAGCAGTGATGGTGGTAAGAGAAACACTGACCAGCTGTGGCACAGCCTCAAATGCATTAAACCTTTGTGGAATGAATCACAACATCCTGAGCTGGAAGGGACACCCAAGGATCATCAGTCCAACTCTGGCCCTGCCCAGGACACCCCAACACTGCACCCTGTGCCTGAGAGCATTGGCCAAACACTCCTGGAGCTCTGTCAGCCTTGGGGCTGTGACACTGCCCCGGGAGCTGTTCAGTGCCCAAACACCTCTGGGGGAAGAACCTCCTGATATCCACCTAACCCTCCCCTGACACAGCTCCAGCTGTTCCCTGTGTCTTATCAGAGAAAGCAGAGATAAGTCCTGTTCCTCCAACTCCCCTCCTGAGGAAGCTGAGTTGGGATGAGATCAGTGGGAAGCATTTGCCAGGAATAACCAGCTTTGCTCCCCACACACCAACGCACATCCCTGAACTTCTCTGCCTGTTGTCTGAACTGCAGTGCTGACTGGAGACCCACAAACCCTGCAGCACCCTGACCCCAGCACCCTGCCAGGCAATGTCCCCGGTGGGACACCCTCGGGGCAGGGGGACACTGCCCCTCGGACCCTGGGGCTGTCACACTGCTGGGGACACCCCCAGGGCAGGGGGACACTGCTCCTCAGACCATGGGGCTGTCACACCAGTGGTGACACCCCCAGGACAG